ATCATTAGCTACAGTTCTGTCCTCAAGATCTGAAATTCTCTCCTTCAATCTGTTGCATATACTTTTAGTGGTGGTTTAGTCTCTTGGATTTCTGTTTGGATCTGTTTCTTTACTGTATTGGGCATTTTTTGATTCCATTATTTTTCTAAGCTCATTTATTCTTTTATTTGTGTCTTCTCTAATATCTTTGATTTTAAGCCTCATTTCTTTTTGTACCGGACAGTATTTTCTCTTAGCTTTTTCCACTTGTTTTTTCACTTCTATTGTTATCATTTCAGACAGTTCCATTTTTGACTTCCAGTTTTGTCTATCTCATTGAGTTCTGGGCTTGTTTTGTGTGGGCTGAAGGTCTGGGCTTGCATTTTGCTTCTGCATCTTGTCATTTTCTATCTTCTCTTTTTTATTTTGTTTTCTATGTTGATGTTTGCTGATTTCTTATGATATGTAGCTTTATCACTAGTATTGAGGCTTCCCTAGGAGATGTCTGTTCTTCAGGAATGTTCTTTGGATGTAGGTAGTTATTTATAGCTATCCCAAGAATCTATCTTCCCAGTTTGTAAAGGATGAAAAATTACTATGACTCCACTCCCAATCCTTTTGTACTGTACTGTGGTGATGATTATGACCCCATATAATCACGGTGTTGTTGTACAGGGAGAAAGACTTTATAACATGTATGACATCCTGGCTAAAGCAGTACAGTTAGTATTAATAGTAGTTTCAAGTATAGCTTAACTTCTAAGCTATGGTAACTTCTAACTATGGTAACCATTAACCTGCTACCTTTGTCCATGAGAACAAACTCTAAGATTAGATAACAAAATCAAACATATACCATGCACTGGTACACAGTGAATTTCCTCTTAGTGCAGTGATTCTACCCTTCTGCAGGGATTGGGGGAGTTAAGATGAGTAGGGGACAGGATAAAGTGATGAATGAGGTCAGATATAGTTAAGGCTGGAAGTCAAAGGACGATCACCTGAGTTTTGGGAAACTGGAGGACACAGGAGAGTAAAAATGAAATAGAATGCGAAAGAGTAATCAGAAAGGGTAGAGACAGTGATTACTCACTTGAAAGTTTAGACTCAAGAAGTAGTGAAGGAAAAAGACAAAGAGGCTCAATAGAAAAAAAAGAAAAAGTAAGCAATCTAAATGGTGAAAGAAAGAAAAAGAACAAAAAAGAAAAAAAGACAAAGATTAGAGAAAGAGAGGAGAAAAAAATCTCAAATACAAAAATAAGCACAGAATACAAAACAAAACAAATTGACACCCAAACAGACAGGAAATGAATAGATAAACAAACAAGGGAGAATAAAGTGGTAAAATAACCCTAGTGTTTACAGTTCTGTGATAGTGTACTGGGACTGGTCTTCTGTTGGTGAAGTTCTTCAGACCAAACGCTGGCTCCTTGTTGCTGCATCAGGTGCTTTCACATTGCTGGTCTCACTGATTATTTTGCCCTCCAAAGGCCTTTGTGTGTCCATGTGCCTGCCTGGGGCCCCCTGTCGTCCTGGGTCTTGGAGTTCCTGTAGGTTCACCCACCACAGGCGTGTATTCTTACAGTCTTCTTGCAGGCCCTACAGTCCCAAGGTCAATGGAGGAGGTGCACAGCATGGACTCGCCCTCTTCTGGCAGGCCTTGCAGACCGGGGTTGATGGAGAAAGGGCAAAGCGTGGACTCAGACTCTACTTGCAGGCACCGCCATCCAAGGGCAATGGCTTCTTTGTGTTTTTGAACAAGTGGTCTCCTTTAAAGATCTACAGTTTTGAAGTCTAGCAAGTTTTTTTTTTTTCTCTGCCCAGCCTTAAGACCTCTGGGTTTTTGAGATGTCCTGCCCTCCTTTCCATAGTCTGCTCTCTTTACCCAGTATGTGGCAGTGTCTAAGCTGAGACAATGTCTAGCTCATCCAAGTAGATAAGGAAGGCAGTCAGACCCTAGATCTGTGCCGATGCAAGCAACAGGGAGAGTGCTTTAATACTCAATGCCTGCACTTTCAAACCCAGAACAAGTCAAGCCAATCCTGTCCTTTTGCCATAGGAATGCAGATCCTTCTTAAGCTGAGCTCAATTTTGTCAGGGTCTCTTTGCAGCTTGCTCCCAGTCTATGGTTGCTTCTTGTGGCTGCTTCATCCAGTCACTGTGGGAGAGTAGCTCTGGGAACCATGAAGTGAAGTTGTCCTGCAGCTGTGCTGAGTCCCAGTTTGAAACACGCAGCCATTTCCTGGAATGGTACTCAATCCACTCTCTCTCCAGGTGTATGGTGGGCACCAGCACCGGGATACACATCCACCTGTGGCTTGTGTACGGACTTCCTTTAGAGCAAGACCTTGTGCTGCCCCTGAAGATCACAACAACAACTGGCCCAGGCCGCTGCTGCTGCTTCCTGGAGCCCTTGGAGCGCAGCTTGCTTCAGCAGAGGCAAGCTAGGGAGAAAGTCCAGACTGTTGGATTCATTTCTCTGCATTGTCTCCTCAACTTCTCTGTACTGTGGTTCTTAATTTTCCTGTCATTTTCTTCGAGATTCCAGGCATCTACATATCTCTGTCTCTTTTTTCTTTCCCACATCATTTTTCAGTGTCTGGATTACAAATCTAAGAGAGACTGAATGCTCACTACTCCCCCATTTTGAAAAGCCTTCTGAAAAGTTTCACTAGAGTTTTAGTAATAATAATTAATGATAACGACCTATGCAGGCATACATTTGAAGAACAGTACATGGTACTTTTGTACACAGACTATATGCTTTGGCGTTTGGCTCCATTCTGGGATTTGGTAGTGTGGCTTGCTGGTGATGTGACTTTGAATTATCACTGCCAGATCCTTCAGTATAAGGGCGATTGCCTGGGATGTACTTTCACCATCTTATTTTTGTTGTGCCTTGGCAGTTGGAGTCCAGTTTCTCTCTGTCCTCTCTTCTTTGTCTTTCCTCCCCTCCCTCTTCCCTCCCAATCCCTCTCCTCCCCCTCACCTCCCTATCCCTCCCCTCTCCTCCCTTCCTCTCCCCTCCTCTCCCCTTTCCTCTCCTTTTCTTCCCTCCCTTCTCCTCTTCTCCCCCTCTCTCTCTTTCTGCCTCTCCTCTCCTATCTTCTCCCTCTCTCCCTCCTTTCGTCTCTCCCTCTTTGTGTCCTTTCTTTCCTCTTCTGTATAATTTATATGCAGTGAAATCTCAGATTAAAAACAGAACCTTTTAGTCATTCCTGAGAATTCCCCCAGGCCTCTTCCCAATCTTCTCTTTCCTCACCCTCGTATTAGGCACTGTTCTGATTTCTATTACCATAGACTATTGCATATTCATGAATTTGATATAATTGAAATCATACAGTATTGGGCTTATTGGGCTCAGTGTGTTGTTTTTGAACTTCGTGTTGTTGTTTTGCATTTGTAGCTTTTTCCTTTTTATTGGTAGTAGTCCGTTGGTTGAATAGAAATCATTCCATGTTTACTTTGTTGCCTTTTTTAAAAAAACAAAATTAGGGCTGGGGATATAGCTCAATGGCACAAGTGCCTGCCTGGCAAGCTCAAGGTCATGAGTCCAATCCCCAGTACCAAACCAAACAAGCTAGAGTAGCATAGATTTGTAAAGATTACAAAAATTGTAGAGAAGTTTTCTGTATACTTCACATTGGCTACTCTGTTATTTTATATTCTCTCTCTCTCCCTCCCTCCCTCCCCTCTCTCTTCTCTCTTTCTCCCTCTCTCCCTCCCTCCCCCCTCTCTCATTTTTATTTACCTTTAAAGGACCTGAGAGTTCTGTGATGTGATTGTGCCATTTTTACTCACACTGACAATGTCTGAGAGTCTAGATACTCCTTATCCTTATCAACAGTTGGTATTTTCAGCTTTCAAAGTTTAACATTCTAGTTGATGTAAAGTCAAGGTGGTATTTCGCTATGGTTTTAATTTGCACTTATGATGATTAGTAATATTGAGCACATTATTGTATGCATGTTGTATGTTTTGGGGGGAAGAGGGACATGTTGGGGGGAAGAGGCCCATGTTTTAAAATCAGATTTTTATTACTGAGGCAAGGTATTACTTGCATATCGTGGATACAGGTTATTTGTTCAGTAAGTGACTTGGAATAACCACTGTAACGCAAGTTGTCTATGTTAGAGTTTGTATGTGAATCCATTTGCCAGTCAAAGCTGATGTATTAGCTATTTGATGCTTGGTTTTAACACTGAACATTATTGGCGCCAATCTTTTGTACTTGCAAAGAGGTTTGATTTTCATAATCATAGTTCTCAAATGAGGGCTCTAATTCATGCTAAGTAAACATCGGTTTCTTGGTTGACTTCTGTCAGTTCTTTTTTTTTTGTTTGTTTTTTGGTACCGGGGATCTAACTCACGACCTAGCACTTGCCAGGCAGACACTTATGCCACTGAGCTAAATCCCCAGCCCTCTGTCAGTTCTTTATTATTTGAAATAATAATAATATTATTGTACCTTTGGAAAAAAGTACCCAGAAGGTTGTTATATGCTTATTTAGCACTTAATGTGTTTTGAACTGAAAAAAGACCCATCTGTATTCTCAGTTGTATACTGTGATTTATGGGTGATTAGTGACCGAGTCTCTTGATTTTTTTTTTTTTTTATGTGTATGTGTTTCACTTTTACACTAGAGTCCTCCATTTGTGTGCTTAACTATTACTGACCCAGTAAAATTTGGGAAGATAAGACTGGCTGAAGGAAGAAAGAGCCAGCTTAATGTAATATATGGCAGGAAGCGTAAAAGAAAAAGAAAGGATAAAAGAAGGAAGAAATATGAAAAGAGATTTGAGATTTTTGAGATGTGAGAGTCAGTGCAATTCCTAAGCATGATTTTAAAAACTCTAAAATGTGAAAAAGCATTTGTAAAAACATGATTTTAAGTTTTTAAAAACCGTGCTATTGGAAGAGAATGACATTCTGTTTCTTTGCATTTTTAAAAAGTTGAGGTAAAGCCACCCCTGTGTTCAGCTCAGCCTTTTCCTAACTGGCCATCCTCTTTCCGTTTCAGGTCAACCTCTTTGTGCTGCTCTCTGTGGTTTGCGTCCTCCTGAATCTCGCAGGGTTCATCCTGGGCTGCCAGGGGGCCCAGTTTGTGTCCAGTGTGCCCCGGTGTGACCTGGTAAGTGGTCCTGAGCAGTGCTGTAGGCCGGCAGACGCTGTCCTGTCCGCTTTCCTGCTGTAACCTTTAACATGTAGCACCCAGCAGCTGTCCTAAAGTGCAACCAGATGTTGATAAAAGGAAGCAGAAAAACTTTCCTGCTGATTATTTTACTAGACTATCAATAATTATAATTCTTATTATATAGTATTATTTTATTATATAAAAGTAATTATAATTATTTTTGTCAAAGCATTGATCATCCCAGAGCCGCCCAAGAGTGGTGTAGGAGATCAGGTCTCCTCGGTCAGTCTCTGTGTCTTCATCAAAAGAGAGAAAGTGGGTTTTACACGAATACAGATCCCAAGTTTTTCCTGAAGCCTAGGAGATCAGGAGTGTGTGAACATTTAGAGATTTTCCAGTTGGGGGATATAAATATCGTGTGGACACCATTTATTACCATGTAGCCCACCAGTGGCATCTGGGACAGGAGGCTGTCATCCAGGCTTCTAGTTTTCAAAGCTTTTTGAATTTCAGAAGTATAAATGTTGTGTAGCCGTTCTGACTTTCACAAAATATTTTAGCTGTAAAATACACATAATATGAAATTGACCACCTTAACCATTTTAAGTGTACAGTTCAGTAGTATCATGTACGTCATTGTGAAAATCTCCAGATCTTGCAAGATTGAAATTCTCTACACATTAAACAACAACTCCCAACTGTCCTCTTCCCTCATCTCCCAATCCCTGGCAACCTCCATTCGACTCTGCGTTTGTATGAATTTGAATACTCTGAATACCTTGGGTCAGTGGAATCATGTTTTGTGAGTGACTTGTTTCATTTAGCATAATGCAGGTCTCTCCACGTGGTAGTATGCATCAGAGCTCTCTTCTTGGGAAGAATGAATAATACCCCATTGTGTGTAAGTATGACACTTGGTGTTTATCCATGTATTACTGGACGGCCTGGATCGTTTCCACTTTTGTCTATTGTGTGTAATGCTGCTGTGTTCGTGGGTATACAGACATCTCTCCTAGGCCCTGCTCTCAATTCTTTTCAGTATATCACCCAGAAGTAAAGTGCTGACCACCTCTGAAATTTTTTAAAAGACTTCTCAGTAATAAACATCTTCCTGTAGCACAAACAAAAGGAACAAACCCTTCAGAAGTTGTAGTCCTTTCTATGTGACCACACACTCTGGTTCTGTAGAAACCAGGAGAATACAAGCCAAGAAGTTGACGACATTTCTAGGAAAACTGCTATCAGGCTCTTGCAGTGACACCCAGAAAATCCCCAACCCCTCAGGGCCTCACCAGAACTCTGTTGTTCTTTCTTATAGTTCTTTACAAAATATTAAAATTTTGTCATCCCATTACTTCATAACCCTAAGCTAGGGAATCCCATAACTTTTCTGGTCTTTAATTGTGAATTGCCCTCAGTCTGCCCTTGTCCTGGAGCAGTGCACACTCCTCATGATTGAGGCAAACCCACAAGTTATTTTCCAGGATCTGCCCCCACCTGCCCCAGAGGTCTCACCGTGTTGCCCAGGCTGGTCTTCAGCTTCTGGGCTCCAGCGATCTGTCTGCCTCAGCCTCCACAGTGTTGGAACTGTAGGTGTGTGCCACTGTGCCTAACTCTGCCTTACTTTCTCATTCCTAACAATGGTTTCTCTTCCCCCAAAGAATTCACCTTAGTTTCCCATTCTTCCAAATGATACCAGTCTTTGAAAGTCCTGTTCAAATCAGGCATGGTGGCGCACACCTGTAGTCCCAGCACTCTGAGAAGCTGAGAAAGGAGAACTGAGCGTCAACCCCAGTCTGGGTAACTCAGCAACTTAGCAAGACCCTGTCTCAGAATTAAAAAAAAAATTTTTTTTTAAAGGGCCAGGAATGCAGTTCATTGTAAAGGCTCTGAGTTCAATCCCCAGTGCTGGGAAAAAGAAAGTACCATTCAAACACTGCCTCCCTCAGGAAATAGCTAGTGACCCTCAGAGCAGGTAATATTCTACCTGTGTATCCCCTTCTTTTTTGGGGCTAAAGATTCTCATAAAGCTACTTTACTGGGCAAGAGTCACCCACATAGTATCTGGTTCCCTTTTATCTTGAATGTTCCCAGTATCCCCCTACCTACCCAAATTTTGGTTTTCCAATTACTAATTATGTAATTGAATGCAATGAATTCACATCTGAGTGAGTGGAAAGCCAAATCAAGAGATGGAAAACACAACCAGGAGATGAAAAAGTGGAGAAAGATTTTAGGACCTGTAGCAAGAAAGTACAGTGAGGTGGTTTCCAAACCAATGCCCTTCCTGAGGAATTGAAGTTTGGAGTTTTTATTCAGAAATCCCATACATGCTCATCTAGGAGAGCTCTTTAGACACTTCCTGAGCATACTTGGCTTGAGGCATGTGTTTCTGAGCATGCTTAATTTAAGGTTGTTGTTTGGAAAGAGCAACACGGCTCTGGGCCTTCTCCATTCAGGGCTGCAGAGCACACACTGGGAAGGTTAAGATGGTAGCCACCTTCTGGGCATGCTCAGTTCAGTACTGTGATGAGTTTTTTCTAGGTACCTGACCGGAGCCGCGGGAGACAGGAGACCAAACTCGAGCAGGATCAGCTCTCAAACTTTATTACGTACAGCGAACCGGACCTGACAAGGTCCGCCACCCTCAACGTTGGTTCCTCTTCCGCCGTTGGGGGCAGGAACAACCTCTTATAAGGGGAAGCAGTATCCAATCACAGAGAAGCGCGCCTAACAAGCTGATAGGCTAGCGTCACGGGTAACTGGGCAGATATGACAATTTGGTGGGCTTGTTCAGGCCGGGAAGAACCCAGAAGCAGGAAATGGGCGCCATTCATAGGCGGCTTCCCACATCTCCCCCTTTTTTATTTATTAAAATAGGATGGTCTGTAGGTCCCTCCAAGGTGTCTATGACCTTGTTGCTGTTAGACACCTAGGAGTGGGCCTACCTTGTAGGCCGAGGCATGAGAGAATGTAGAGGTCTATACCCTGCTGTGCATCACCCTGTTTTGTGCATATCCTTGCGCCAGGACCATGCTCAAGGTGAGTGGTTCATTTTTTCGCAGGGCCAGGCTTTTGTGAACCGAACCTGGATGCATATAGACATTCATTCCTGCCTTCCCCCCAACCTTTGGGGCGGATGGCACTGCAGTACCCTTGGTCTCGCATCTCAATGCCAATAATTTGACTCCAGAAGGGACCCCTGGCCTTATAGGCCATGTATATCTGAGCGGAGCCTGTCTTAGGTTGACCGGGAGGGCTTTTCCCATCTTACCCGTCATTGGCTTGCCCACTCAGCTCTTATAGCTGATATTCTGCAATGTGAAGGAGATATGCGGCGGCCTGCTGGCCTGATGGGCCACCTGCTGCCATTTGCATGGCTGCCATAGCTGTGATCTTAACCTGCTGCTGGGTTTGCATCGGAGTTAAGCGGGTGGGTCATATTCTGAGTGGAATTATTGGCTGCGGAGGATGTATTTTTCAGTGTCTGATTAAGTGTCATAAAGGGGCAGAGGTCTAAGCAAGCACCCAGCGCATTGCAAAGTTGATGCTGCGCAAAGAGGGAGGAAGTATGTTTACAATATCCCGTGGCCCCCCAAGCGGCCCCCACTGAACAATTCCGAAGGGTGATCAATAGGAACCCACAGAATAGAAAAAGCTCCAAACCAGACATTTTAGTTTGTAGATGGTCTCGGGCGCTGAGCGTCGGTCCCAGAAGGGTCGAGTTGACTTGTGTCCGCGGGCTTATCCTCCTGTGCTTTATCAGGAACTGGTGGGGAGTTTACTGCTCGCGTCAATCTTTCCGGGACCCACAGCGGTTCGCGACCTGGTTCCTGTGGGAAGACACAAACCGCACCTCGGGTCCAACTAACCACTGGATCCGGGCCCATCCATTGTCCTGTAAGGACATCTTTCCATCTCACCAGCCCTTTGTCGGCCAGGGACGGGTTATTGTGCTCCATGGCAGGGGAATGATTATTGTGATTAAGGTTTAAAAAATTTATGGTAAAGAGTGCCAATGATATTCTTCCTTTGGGCGTTAGGCCGTGGCCACCCAATTCACGGCACAGGCGTGTCCACTCTTCTAAGGACCTATTTTTGTTAGTTCTTAGGACATCACGGCACTCCTTAGTGCACTGTTCAAAAATCAATTGTTTTATGAGAGGGTGAGCCGCCTCAGCATCTGGAAAAATCCTGTTAGCGGCCTCAAGCATGCGGGCCACAAAGTCTGAAAATGGCTCTCCCTGCCCTTGTATAATTTTTGTAAGGTGACCCGTATGTTCTCCCTTTCCAGCCAGCCGTCTCCAGGCCTGGAGGCCACAGCGGCTAATTTGTTCATAAACCTGGCGAGGGTATTGAGTTTGATCTTCCTCAAAGGCTCCTCGCCCTAATAGCATATCCCTGTTCCACTCTCTCTGGTTATTTTCCCTGTTGGCTGCCGCCTGCTCTACACAAAATTCCTCATTCCAGGACTTCCAATCTAAATATTGTCCGGGGGAGAGGCAGGCGCGTGCCAGCTGGGTCCAATCTCCAGGAGTTAAAAGCAGACCTGCCAATGCCTCTAAAAGCGCCATGGTAAATGGCGCATTGGGCCCTTAAGCTGAAACTGCGTCCTTGATAGTTTTAAGTTGTTTAATTTCTAAGGGCTCATAATATCCTCCTCCTCCCCTGCCTCCTACTTGTACCGGGAATGCATGGAGACCGGAACACTCAAAGGGAAGCCGCGACCATACCCTCTGGTGGAAGGAACGTCCTCCTCCCTCCCCAGATGGGGGCGCAGAAGGCAACCCAGGAAGTAGCTCTCCCTCTAACCAGGGCGGTGCCATAGGTTGTGGTGGCAGCCCAGGGAGCAACTCCTCTTCCGGCCACGGCGGTGCTATCTTCCCGAGCCCTGAATTCGCGAACTTGCCAAAGGGCGGAAGGGCTTAGTGGGGCCTGGCGCCCTGAAGGGGGTGATCGTGGGTGTTTGGTTCCCCTTTTTATCTTCCCGAGCCCTCAATTCCTCTTTAAGCTGTGCAGGAGGGTCCTGTTTAGCGAAGACAACCTCCTCTTCTGAACCTTCCGAATCAGAATCAGAATTAGAGCCCTGAGGGTCCTCCGGAGACCCACAATCGGCAGTGGCTCCGGGCTCCTCTGAGCATTCCAATCGAGCTCTATCAAAAGCCTGTCAGGCTGTATTAGCGAAGCGAAGGCAAAACAGATGCAAAGGGAAAAGAAAAGAAAAAAAAACCGGCGTCCACTCGTGTGGCGCTCAAAATCTGTTAGGTGCGTCCACCCAACCCAGGTGACCCAGTACTCACCTGTCCCGGGAACCGCTGTATCTCACGTAGCTGATCAGGGTGAAGAGAAGAGGCGCTCGCGGCCTTCCGTTGTTATTGGGCCAGGTCCTCCGTCGTACCGCAGGCGACAGCAATCGCACCTCCCAGCCGAAGAGGCACGTCGCTGAGTCTTTTACCTTTTTCCCCGAACGGGCGGCCAGATGACCGGAGCCGCGGGAGACAGGAGACCAAACTCGAGCAGGATCAGCTCTCAAACTTTATTACGTACAGCGAACCGGACCTGACAAGGTCCGCCACCCTCAACGTTGGTTCCTCTTCCGCCGTTGGGGGCAGGAACAACCTCTTATAAGGGGAAGCAGTATCCAATCACAGAGAAGCGCGCCTAACAAGCTGATAGGCTAGCGTCACGGGTAACTGGGCAGATATGACAATTTGGCGGGCTTGTTCAGGCCGGGAAGAACCCGGAAGCAGGAAATGGGCGCCATTCATAGGCGGCTTCCCACAGGTACCTGAAAGACTGACAGTGGCGTGGTTACTTTGGCTGCTTCTTGGCAAGTTTCCCCAAAAGTTTTAGGTAAAACAAAAAAGAAAAGAGAATTCTGAATGTGCATTAGTGTGGGAGTTTACCAGAAGGGGTGGCCTCTGCAGCCAACACTGACTTAACAGATGAGGCAGGACAAAGAGAAGAAGCAAAGACTGGAAATGAACTGTTAATGGATTTTAATAGTTCGGCAGCATGGTCGTATGTGCCCGAATTTCCATCCTTTTTAAGACTAAATTATTTTCTTGTGGATATAGATGATGCATTTTATTTATCTGCTCATCTGTTGCACATTTCGATTGGTTCTAAATGAGTATTACTGCTCCTGCATCTTGTTGTAATGATGATTGGAAACAATGCTTTTGTGTACTCGGGGGTGTCGTGCTGTGTGAATACGCAGCCAGCTGTGTAGAGTATGAGACCTGCTTTTTCACCTGACTGAGTACCTCGCATATGAATGGATTTGTACGTATTTGGGAGAGGGAATGGTGGTGCACTTCTGTGGTGCCAGCACTCTGGGAGATTGAGGTATGAGACCAAGGGTTCAAGCCCGATCTGGGCAACTTAGCAACTTAGCAACATTGTCCTCTCCCCTCCTGTCCTGCCAAAAAAGAAAGACAAGACATATAGACAGACAGACAGACAGACAGACATATAGCTCAGAAGGCCTTTGGTTCAGTTTCTAGTCTTGGGGTGGGGAGAGAATAGATTTATACTGGCACGAACTACTTTGTAAGGTGACACTTTGCATTACCCGAGGGAAGTGGAGGCCCCAGGCAAGGTCTGGCAATTTGCACGGAGTCATGCTGCAAATGTGAGTTTGGCCCCCATCCACAGAGTCATGCTGCAAACATGAGTTTGGCCCCCATCGAAGAAGAGACAGGGAGGAGACCGGAGTGGAGGCTGACACTTCATCTCCATCAGTGCTGATTTGTTACTGTTAAGTAGTGTTAACATAGGAACTGCTCAGTAGACTTCAAGGGAGGAAGCCCTTCAGGAGACATAGCTGCCAGCCAGCTTACTCTGCAAGGGATTGGATTGTGCAAGAGGGGCTGGAGAAAGCTGGCCTGATTAGCCACAGTCATTTTCCTTGAGAGGTTAGGAAGGTGTGTCAGGAACCTGAGACAGTAGCAGAAAAACTGACTCGGACAGACTTGGGCCTTTGTGTGGGGCATGGATCTAGGCATGGGAACATGGATGGTGTAAATCTTCATGGAGAAACCAGGAAAAGAAGGGACCACTGGGGGATGAATCGATGGAGACCATGGAGGTAATTCCAGTTGCCATGCCTTGTAGCAGAGGCAGACTTTTATATAAATATCTGATATAATAATGCTTCTTTCAATGTGGTCTCAGAACAAAAAAATCAGAAATGTTGTGGAATCCATGGAGTCCTAGGGAGACAATGCTAACTGACACAGGCAAAAAAATGAGAACAGAGGTTGCCTGTGGGAAAGTTTGGGCAGAGATGGATGGGGAAGGGCAAGAGGAAATTTCCCCTGGAGATGGTAATGTCCTCTATGTTGATAAGGGTTTGGGTTTCATAGGGGTATGCATTGCTCAGAATTCCTAAAATGGTACGCTTAGATTTGTGTATATAATTTGGGGGGTATATGTAAATTTCACCTCAAATGAAAAAAATACGAATATTAGAATATTTTTCAACTCAGATTATGAGAGACCATATTTTCTCTTGTTTTCAGAAAACAACCTAGTAATTTACTACTATAACTAGAGATTAAGAGTCTTATTTCAGAGCCAGAGGTGATGGCACTGCCTATAATCTCAGCACTCAGGAGGCTGAGGCAGGAGGCTTGCTGGAGTTCGAGGCCAGCCTGAAATGCATTGTGATACCCTCTCTCAAAAAGACAAAAAAAAAGTCTTATTTCATAAGACAAAAGGAATTCCCCTCTAGGTGGGGGTTAGCAATGAAAATAGTGTGACTGTTCACCTGAAGACTTTTGGGGCTGGTGAAGTCAGAGCTGCCAGATTAATCTGACAGTTAAGGAAAGAGCTGAAGCCTTTCCTTTTAGTCAAAGCAGAGGAGCCAGCTTCAGCTGCTCAGGCACAGAATGACCAAGAATGAACCCCTGCCTGCACTTTGTGGACCTTGTTTGCCCGGCTTTCACAGTACGATTCCGGAAAAACTTGAAAAGTGACCAAAAATTTACAAAGATTTCACTGCAGATGCAGACAGGTGTCACCAACTACCACTTCACACGCAGCAGCCTTGTCAATCTGTGGCTGCTTTCTGGCCCTGAGACCCCAGGCCTCTGGAAGCCTGCACAGTGCAGGCCAGTGGGAGGGCCGTGTCTCCACTTTCTCAGGGTTAGGCAGGGCCATGTGATTTGCTTGGATAATGAAATTATGAGGTCAATCCCAATAGGAAGCTTTAAGCTAGAGATGCCAGATTGAACATGTAAAATTACAACGTACTCAAATAAACTTGTGTTTCAGATAACATCACCGGTTTTTTTTTTACGTATAAACATGCCTCATGCAGTGTTTGAGGAGTACTTATATTTTAAAAAATTAAATGTCACTTCTTAAATTCAGATTTCACCGGACACCCGGCAAGAGCGCCTTTTGTCGTGTCCCTCCCCTCTCTCCATGTGCCAGGCAGGCCTTGCAGCAGAGATGGTGATTGTCTCGAGTCCACGTCCCCATGGACGCATCCATCGTGCCCAGGGGCCCCGCTGCCTGCAGTGCGGCTGTAACGTGTAGGAAATGACTGCACTTTGGTTTGTCTGTCCCTCAGCACACCAAGCCTGTTCTGACGGATAGAGTCATTGTCTGCCACGAAACCCGCCCTCTGGCTTCTGTACAGCCGCTGCTCCCTGCCACAGCAAGGGTTCTTTTTCTTAATCATTAAATCACTGTTCTGCCTCTTTTCCCTAAGGTGGACTTAGGTGAAGGCAAGATTTGCTTCTGTTGTGAAGAATTTCAACCTGCCAAATGCACAGACAAAGAAAATGCCTTGAAACTCTTTCCCGTTCAGCCTTGTAGTGCTGTTCACCTTCTCCTTAAGGTATGTTAGACACATTCCAACCCCGCCAAAAAATGTACCCTGGAAGCCCCAGACAGGCAGAGTTACCTGGAATATTCCTGTCATCACTGCCTTCAAATTAAAGCTGCTGAAACCAGGGATGAGTGACCCTTTACCGTGTGTGTGTGTGTGTGTGTGTGTGTGTGTGTGCGCACACGCACATAACTAGGTATGGACAGCTTTCTTTGTCTCTTAAACTAGTAAAGAGGACTAGTAAACTAGTAAGAGGACTCTTAAACTAGTAAAAATTGAAAGGCACCTAACTTCTGCACAGGTATGTAAGTGTATACACTTATGTGTGTTGGCATATATGCACACACATGTAAGACGCAGCTTTTAGCAAAGGCTTTAAAGTCACCTCCTCGCTTGTGGTTGTGCTGATGTTCAGTTGTTAGTGCGAGTGAGTTGCGTGGACTTACTGAATGCCGCCGTTCTGTGACACACACACTTGGGAGAGAAAATACTGGAGAAACTCAAGAACTTTGATCTCTTAATTGGTGATAACTATAATCAACAGAAATTTAAAAACAAATTATTCTAGGTGAAAGACAAAGCTAACGTTTCTTAGGGAATTGAAGAAAAATTGTGCCCTAATTTCCAGGGCCTTAGCCGAGTGAGTGACAGAATCAGTTGGTGAGCTCTGATACATGAGCCCTGGGACTGCCTGTCACTAACGGCTTTCTTTGTTTTGGGTTTATTTTTGTGGGGAGGAAAAATCTCTAAGCAGAGAGAGAGAGCTGTATTCATAGCTGCCAGCTCTGGGTTATATAGGTTGTAAAAATGCCCTGCTTTCCTTGGCTTCTGCATATTTGGTGCCTGAGTCACCCCAACTTTCCAGAGCAGGCCTCAGGTTGGGGAAAGCCCCATGTAAGAGCCAGGACTGTAGCCGTAGCGGTTTTGGCATTGCCTTGCTGCTATTCTGAGACGTGTTTGGAGGAGAGAGGGCCTGTTTATGCTCCGCTGGCCCAGCCCCTGCTGCGCCCTCAGAGGGTACTCGGAGCAGCACTCCCAGATGCTCCTGAAATAGAAATCAGTGGCCACAGATTATACACTGTGCTACACTCAGGGGAGGCTGGAGATCAGCAGTTTCAGAAGAGAGCCTGGCTCTCCTGGAATGAAGATTTCTAGACAATATCCATACAATTGCAAAAAGAAATGCAGTCATCCCTTGGTATCCGTGGGGACCGTCTCCAAGACCCTGAGGCTCCCTGCAATCTGGGGTGCCCGGTGCTTTATATAAAACGGTGTGTGTTTGCATATAACCTGGGTGCTTTGAACCTTCTCGAGATTAGTTACAATACCTAGTGGAAATATTTACGTTTTGGTTGATAGAATGTACAGATGTGTAACTCCAAGATGCAGAGGGCAGACTATGTTGTAATGCCAGGTCTCTCTAGGGCAGAGAGCTTCTCAGATACGTTTTTAAAGTCAAGAAGCTCACATTCTTGTATGGGGATTATAATAGCAGTCAGTGTATCAAGTGTCTAAATCCTTTGTGCCATGTTTCTTGTGAGACATCTCATGGGGACAGGGTTGTTGTTTAAGCTCGTTTTTATGTTTCACTCTGGTCACTTGCCCTGAAGTACTCTGCGCTGTCATTGTTTCCGTGTTCCAGAAAGTCCTCTTCGCCCTGTGTGCCTTGAATGCCCTGACCACCACTGTCTGCCTGGTGGCTGCCGCCCTTCGCTACCTCCAGATATTCACCACCCGCAGGTCGTGCATCGTAAGTCTAGGCAGGGGGGTAGCTGAGCCAGCCGCGGGCCCCTGTGTGTGATGCTTTGCTCTTCTCCCCTCCCGGCGGCGGTGAAAGCTGCTGATAACCCTAGTGCTGTTCCATCAGGATGAATCCCAGATCTCTGTGGAAGAAGTGGAGGACCATGGACGCATCCCAGACCCTGAGGACTTCATACCACCGGTGCCTCCCCCGTCCTACTTCGCCACGTTTTACTCGTGCACGCCCCGGATGAGCCGCAGGTATTGTCCCTAAATTCCCTGCGGCTCTCTGGGGTGCTCCTGAGTTTTGAAGGGTGACGGGTGTACATGACTCAAGCCCAAGCCCTGACTTTCCTCCCAAATCTGAAGGAGTTGTTGTCTTTTTCAGGGTTTTCAATTCTCTCTGTCCTTTTCTGTACCTCTGGTTCTCTCTGTCTCTCTCTCTTCTGTCTAATAAACTGGATGAATCCAAAGAAAAGTCAAAACTTGACCTAAAGATAAACCGTTTCAAGGTTGGCTAGCTTCCTAGGGAAAACTGACACCCCGGGAGATAACGGCTGTAATTTGACATGATGGAGAGTCACAGTTGTCCTGGCAGTGCTCCCAGTGAGACCAAATCGATGCTTTATTATACCACCTTCAGCAACTCCCAACAATCTTGAAATTCTTCCGAGCTGTTAAGGAAAGATTAAAAATTAATTGCATTTCCCTGATTTAGAGAAAAAATATATCCCACTTATATTCTCTTTCAAATTCCAGTTCAAAATGTGTCTGGTTCTCAAATCTCAGAAAGTATGTATACAATGAAACGTTCCATGCATTTGTTGGATGGCTAGTGACTTTTAGAATTGAACCTCTCTAAAGAACGACTTCATTTATTCATTCGACAAACTTGTACTCCTTGGCTGCTTACTCATTGCTGGGTCACTAAAATTTTAAATGCATCAGAGCTGCTCCCTGTCCTCCAATCAAGGAGCTTACAGTCTGGGTTATTAAAGTAAATGTAGGAAGGATAGCAGTGCTTCTCAGAAGAGTGATTGGGAATGCACAGAAAAGACTTTTTAGTGCAGAGTAGTGAGGTGGTCTGTAGTCAGGGGCAGCTTCCTGGAAGAAGTAACCTTAATCTGACTTTAAAGGATATTCAGACATAATTTATAAGTCCCCAAGAAGAATCTCTAAATTTCACCAACAGGCTAGCATCTTCTGCTTGATATTCTGAGGAGTCTTAGTTTTCTCTCATTGCTAAGACAAAATACTTAACACCCAAAATTAAAGGAGAGAGGTTTATTTAGCTCACAGTTTGTGGTTTCTGTCTGTATCAGCCGGCTGCAAGGTGGGGTGATGTGGCAGACGGACACTGCAAAGGACAGCAATTCATGGCAGACTGAAGATAGAAAGCATGCAGAGAACAAGACAAGCCTCTTTCTGTCCCTTATACTGTATCCAGGCTACCAGGATTAGAGCAGTGCCAGACCAATCAGTGGACTGATTTAGTAATCAGCATTGCACCATGAACAGCCACACACTTTAGATTTGCCCACCTCTGAAAAAGCCCCATGAGGCTTTGGGGGACATCCAAACACAAGCCATAACACAAGGCTAGACATTTATATTTTTATTTATTTATTTTTGAGGTACCAGGGATTAAAGGCAGGACCTTGGGACCGAGCACCTTCCATCCTCACCCTTTTTATTTTTTGAGACCGGGTCTCGCTAACATTTCAAGCTGCCCAGGCTGCACTCAAACTTGTGATTCTCCTGTCTCAGCTTCTAGGGATGCTACACACATTTATATTTTTGAATCTCTGTGGTATGTGTAAAGTTTTCCAGTAAATTTATTGCCAGGCGTGGAGTTGTTGGAGAAACATTTTTTTCATTCGACAGCTGTTCTAATGTTAGGGCAGCTCTGTGTGCCCCCTTGAAACAAGTCTCACCCAGGCACTGTCCGTGTTCCTTGTGTCTGAACCTCTGCCCATCAGACCAGGCCCAGGCAGGAATGACCACAAAGCCAGAAGGCCTTCAGCTGGGTGGACAGTGGCCTGGCGAGCACCGAGGTAGGGCTGCCTCGCTCCGTTGAGCACGGATTGCTGGTGCTCTGAAGTCAGGGATAGCGTGACTTCCTCATGTCTCAGGAGCTGAGCCAAGAAGAGCTGCGCAAGAGCTGCACATTCTGCGCCACCCCAGGAGGGGTCTCTAAACTGTAGCCGGGTCTCAGGCTGTCGTGCAGGGCTGTGCAGACGACTGCTGTTTTGTGGTTGGGAGGCAGCTGTCCTCTTCAGTATGAGTCCTGGCTCCCCAAGATTGCAAGTGAGCATTCACCTGACCTCTGAAGAGGCAGTGGACAGATTCAGTTTCCTGCAGCCACAGAAAGGGAAAGTGACTCATGCGGTAAAGGAAGGAGTTGCCCACATGTCCTGTGTCTCCCCACCTTGCTCTCTCCTCTCCCCTTCCTCTTTTCTGATCCTCCACAGCCATGCTTGTCAGTGTGGGTGTCTCCACCCGTCGTGGACCTTTGTACAGCCTCAGGTTTATTCCTCTGAGCCCTGGTCAGATCGAAGTTGGGAGAAGACAAACTTCTCACCAGGGACTTTTATCATTCAGAACTTTCCAGAAGAAGGGGGAGGTTTCCAGCAAAATATTCTGTGAGAAGAAAACACTGCCCGGTCCAAATTACATGCCTGGAATCCCTGATCCTGCCTCCGGTGGCTTCATTTTTAGAAATTCTACCAATATCAAAGGGCAGCCCACTTTTCTCTTTAAAAATGACCAAACACATATTTAGACACTCTATCAAAGGTACTTTTAAATTTGACTCACTTTGCTAGTTGCTCAGCATAAATCAGCCTTATAGATACTCAGCTTTTGCTGTGGGTGTAATTCCTTTGTAAGCAGGCAGGTAAAAACAGGCACCAGTGTTTCTGTGGCTGTTTCCAAACCAGGGGTGTGGAGCGTGTGCACCACGGAAGCTGTTCATTTTGTGTAAGGCATTTTTCTTCTTGGAGGAGGTCTGTTTGTTTAACTTCTATAAATAACAATCGCTTTATGCTTTTTTACCTCCCTTGGGAAAGCGTTTCTCAAGTTACTGGCATGAACATATTTCTGACTACTGCCAAGGCTTCGGTCCAAGGTTGAGTTCCGTGTTTTGTGAGTTGATTTGTAAGCGCAGGAGAGGGCTGTGTGTCCAACTCCAGGACTCCAGGCTGCCCGCCCTCCCATTTTCAGAAACTGAGCGAGGAATCAGAAAGGTAGGGATAGGGAGAGAGGAACATGGTTCTCTGGTCAAAGACATCTTCATTGCAGTGTTGTCCTGTTTGTGGCGTAGAGTTGGAGCGTGTGTCCTGTGCTCTGTTCAGGCACCCCCAGGCTTCTGAGCGTGAACCAGTGAAGGTTGCCTGGAGACCATGATGCACTCGGGGAGCCCAGGCTGGGGGTCTCTTCTAGTGTGACCCTGGGTGGCTTCCTGAGCATTTCCAGCTTCACCTGTATTGTCACTTGGCTGCTGGGAGAATGCATATGAGAGAGTGGACGTTAAAACTCTTGCTTTAAAAGTAAAGGCTTAGGCTATTACCGTAACAGAGCAGCACACAAAGTGGTTTTTATAAGAACCTTTATTTTCTCCTGGAAATTCCAAGATCCAGGTGCTAAGTAGGCTTGGTCTCCTTGATGGCACCTTGTTTCTGTGCTCTTCAGAGAAAAAAAGACTGTCCTCCAGTAACCAAGAGCAAAGCAGAGAGAACCCATCCCACAAGCGCCTTTTATAGGGCATTAATTCAGTCATGCGGGCTCTGCCTCCATGATCGAAATAATTCTGCAAAGTCTTCACCTCCAGCAAGACTGAGTCTTTTACTTTGTAATTTTTTGAGGGTAATATATATATTCATTCATCCTAGCTGTTAGTCCCATGTCTAAGAACTAGCTGGCAAAAAAAATTTTCCCCATTCTGTAGGTTGCATTTTACTCCATTGGTTGTTTCTTTTGCTGTAAGAAGCTTTTTAATTTGATGTGATCACATTTGTTGATTCTTGGTAATATTTCACGTGCTGTTAGGGTTGTGTTCAGAAAGTCCTTCCCTACACCTGTGTCTTCAGAGTTTTACTTGTTTTATCTTTTAGTAGATTATTTCTGTTTTAACATTTAGATCTTCGATCTGCTTTTGGTGAGATGTATGTGTCTAGACTCAATCTTCTGTGTGTAGAGAACCAGTTTTCCAGCACCATTTATTGAAAAGGCTGTCTTTCCTCCAGTATATTTTTGACTTCTTTGTGAAAGATCAAATAGTCACATTCTGGCTCCTCAGTTCTGTTTTATTGATCCACGTGTCTGTTTTTGTGGCAATACCTTGCTTTTTAAGTCACTATAGCTTTGTAATATAACTTCAAATCTAGGATTGTGATAATTCCTACTTTGCTCCTGTTTCTCAGAATTGCTTGTGCTATTGTGGGTCTCTTCTGGTTCTACATGAGTTTGCGGGTTGTTTTCCCTAGATCTGTGAGGAATGTTGTTGTTGATAGTTCGGCTGAGATTGCATTAAGACTATGTATCAGTTTAGAAAGCAGGTCCGTTTGACAGTGACCATTCTGCCTAACCAAGAACAGGGGATATCTTTCCATTTTCTGATGCCTTTTTAATTCTCCATTCTCAAATACTGTACTTTTCATTGTAGAGGTCTTTCACTTTCTTGGTTAGGTTAATTCTTAAGTATTTAATTTTTTTTGATGCTACTATGGATGATGTTTTCCTGATTTATTTCTTCGTAAGATTATTGTTGGTGTACAGGAATACTGTTGATTTTTGTATGTTGTATACTGCTACATTGCTGAATCTGGCTATAAAATCCAGAAGTATTTTGGTGAAATTTTGGGGCCTTCTATATAGAAGACCATGTCACCTGTAAGTAACAATAACCTGAATTCTTTTTTTCCTATATGTATTCCTTTACAATCTTGCCTGATTGCTCAGAGGAATGTTTTGAGCATTGTGTTGAATAGGACTGATAGTAGTGGACATCTTGATTTTAGAGGGAAAGCTTTCAGTTTTTCCCATTGAATATGATGGTGGCAAGTTTGCCGAAAGTGTCTTTAATCAGATTGCTGTAAGGTCCTTCTGTCTGTATACGGAGTTTTTTATCACGAAAGGATGTTGGATTTTGTCAGACTTTTTCCGCACCTAATGAGATGATCATATGATTTTTGTCCTTGCTTCTTTTTAAATTACAGCTTATATTTATTGATTTGCACAGCTTGCATTGAACTATCCTTACA